GCCTGTTAAGTGAGCACATACATAGGACTACCAACTGCTGTGCGCCTTGTTTGTTTGGGAAGACTAATTTATGGAGTATAAGGCAGTAGGGAGGGGAGTGGATAGCCTGTGCCTCATAGGTCGCTTTCCTGGTCAATCTCCTGTTAATGAGGTTCCTGGAGAAGCTCATCCTTCTTTCCAGGGTGTCAGCACTAACCAGAACCTCCCCCTTGAGGGAGAATTGAAGGTAGCAGAAAGGCTCCTACCTCCTTGGCCTGAGAGGGAAATCAGTGTCAAAGACTCAGGTGCACGATGCTCTCTCTCTACAATTTAATCCCACCCCCCAAATTAACTGAGCATTCAGAAAATACTTCTAAAAACAAAACAAAAAAAAAAAAAAAAAATCCTTCCTGTCTGGGATAAACCCCAAAGTAAACCTTCTCCCCCCATCCCCCAAAATACACCTTCTCCCCCCAACCCCCAAAGTAAACCTTAAGCCTTCAGACTGGACTGACTCATTCAGAGCTCTATGGGACAATGACACAAACCTGCTAATTAGCCACATGTTTCTGGTGTTCTGTGCCAGCAGCAGCAGCAGCAGCAGCAGCAGCAGCAAGTAGCAGCATGACTCTTGCAAGTTAGGTCGGAAACTACTTCACTTGGAAAACTCTGGAACCTTCTTTACACTCCCATCCCATATTTCCAGGGGCTACAATGCTAATCGCTATTTCATTAATTTAAAAAAAAAAAAAAAGAAAGAAAGAAAGAAAAGTGGCTAAGGGCCATTAATCTCTTCTGTAAGAATGTAGCACTTAGGTCCCTGGTTTACAGGCCCTGGGAAAATCTGCCTGAATAATGGCTGTTAATCGGCTTAACACCTTGTAGCTTCCTCAGTAACTAGCGCTCTTCTCTATTGAGGAGGGTTGCACAGTGTTGCCCGGCTTTCTGCAGGAGAAAGCCACCACTGACCAGATCAGAGGTCGCAAAGTGCAAGCCCTCCAGGTTCCCTGACCACTGAAGCGCTTACCAGCTCCCAAATTACAATGCCACCCTTCATGGCAGACAGTTAAGTCATTCCCCAGCAACCTGATAAGACTCTGAAAGAAAAAGTTATCCTTCTCAGCTATGAAGCAAATATTTCCTGAATATCTCTCGGCTTCACTCTGGTTCCAGTGTCGTACTTGGGCCCAGTCCTGGAGTATAATTTGGCACATACTATGAAAAACTTAACCTTTAAGATTCACAAAAAAAAAATGAAGAGATGTGGCAATTGATAAGGAAGGATGACAACAACAACAACAAAAAAATCAGTCTCATGAGTGAAATAAGGTCAAAAAGTTCTGCTCCAGTAAGAGGGGAAAAACAATCATCAGAAACTCCAGTCAGAACCGCACAACTCAAAGACGAGATGATTGAAAATGTGGCTTGAATTTGAACTAGCTATTCACACATCCATTTGTCTTTATCCATATGAGCCTTTCCATCTAAAGCAGCGGTTCCCGTCCTGTGCAATGACCCTTTCACAGGGGTCATCTAAGACCATCAGAAAACATGGATACTGGCATGATGTGTGAGAGTAGTAGAATTAAGGTTATTAAGTAGCATCAAAAATAATTTTATGGTTGGGGGTCACCACAATGTGAGGAACTGTTTGCATTAAAGGGTTGCAGGCATTAGGAAGATTGAGAACCACTGCTCTACAGGGTATCTGGAAGCCTGGTAGGATGGCTCAGTGGGTAAAGGTAAGCCAAGCCCAACAACCCGAGTCCCATCCCTAACTGACACAGCGAGGAAGAGAATCAACTCACGAAAACTGTCCTTTGACCTCTCCACATATTCTGTATCCTGTACTGCCTATGTATACAGAAAGAGAGAGAGAGAGAGACAGACTACAGAGCCACACAGATACATACAAATAAATGAATGTAACAAGAAAAACATGTTTAAAATATTGCCCTGTCTCAACAAAACAAAACAAACAAACAACAGTCTCTTCCAAACATTCTCCACAGAGCCCTGGCTGTCCGGGAACTAGCTCTGTGGACCAGCCTGGCCTCAAACTAACACGGATCCCACTGCCTCTCCTCCTAAGTGATGGGCATAAAGGTGTGTGCCCTCACCACCTGGTTTTAATAGTCTCTAAAAAAGTAAAAAGAAAAAGAAATTATCAGCCAGGCGTGGCGGTGCAGTGCATGCTTTTAACCTCCTTAGAGAGACCTGCTTCTAAAACAAGACAAGGATTGATTGATTTCTTTATTTTCAGGCAGGTCTCACTAGCTGGCCTCAAATTCTCTATGTAGACCACCAGGCTGGCCTCAAATGCACAGAGATCTGGCTGCCTCTATCTCCCAGGTGCTAGAATTAGAGACGTCCGTGCCTGTGCCAGGCGATTTGAAATTATGTACATATGAATGCTTGTGTGGGGTATGGGAGCACAGGTGCCTTCAGAGGCCAAACGTGGGCATCCGTCCCCAGGAGCAGGACTTATAGGCAGTTTAAAGTCACCCGGAATAACTGTTAGGGACCAAACGGGTCCTCTGCAAGAGCAAGAAAACATAGTCCTGAGATATCTCTTTTGCCTCATTTTATTTTATTTGAAACATGGGGTCTCATGTAGTCCAAGCTAGCTCCAAACTCTGCATCTTCTAATCTTAGCCTCCTGAGTGCTGAAATTATAAGCATGCAGGTTTATTTTCTTTTTTGTTGTTTTTCTGTTTGTTGAAATGGTCTCACTACGTAGTGTTGGCTGACCTGAAACACACTACGTAGACCAAGCTGATCTGGAACTCACAGAGATCAGCCTGTCTTGGCCTCCCCAGTGCTGAGGTTAAAGGTGTGCTCTACCACACCCAGATAATTTTCTTGTTGATAGTAAAATTGATAGAATGTACTTAGCTGAGCGTGGTGTCGCATACCTTTAGTTCCAGCGCTGGGGAGGTAGAGGTAAGTGGATCTCTGAGTTTGAGGCCGTCCTGATCTGCAGACCAAGATCTAGAGCACCCAGGCCCACAGAAAATCCCGGTCTTAAAAAAACAGTAACAACAACATATACCTAGGCTGTACATACAGATGGATCAAAACAGTTAAAGAGCAAAGATACTGAATGGCTTGCACGTTAGGTGGCCCAAGACAACCAGATGGATATAACTGGGCATCAATTATCCAGAACTGTAATGTAACAAGGCTTTGCCTAGAGCCAAGTGACAAAGTAGATTGGTAGGAAGAAGTCTTGCTGACCTGTAGGCTAAGGAGATCATCATCTTGACATTATGGTAAAAGAAAAAAAAAAAAAGAAAAAAAGAAAAAAAGGAAGGAAGGAAGGAAGGAAGGAAGGAAGGAAGGAAGGAAGGAAGGAAGGAAGGAAGGAAGGAAGCCACCGGGGGCTCAGACCAGAGAACTGATATCTTACCTAAAAGAGTTATGACTATTCAAACCCACAAACCCACAGGGTACAAACCTATACAGTCCCAGGCCTCAGGAAGTCAAGAGGGCCAACCTGGGCTGTGGGCCAGCCTAGGATATATGAGACTCTTTTTCAAAGCCACCGCGGGGTTGGAGAGATTTCTTGGTGATTCAGTACACATACTGACTGTGCAGTTGACCAGAGTTCCCAGCACACACACTGGCAGCTCACAACCACCTGAAACTACAGCTCCAATACTTCTAGCCTCTAAAGTGCACCTACGCTTACACACACACACACACACACACACACACACACACACACACACACACACAATCTTTTAGATGTGCTGAGTCACATGCATTCAATTCTACATGACTGTGGTATGTAGCATCGAAATCCAGGGTTCCTAAAACTGAAAATTCTCAAGAAAAGATGGAAATCTAGATTGCTATATAAAGGTATCTGCAGATAATCCTTCTCTTGGAATGCTGCAAAGGGCCAAGCAAGCCCATATGTAGACCAGATCCACCACGCAGGCCACCAGCTTACAAATTCTCATTTAGAAGCAAAAACTGAAAGCGCTTAAATGTCAGCTAAGAATACAGGCCATTATTCTTACAGACGCAGAGTGTGAAAGACCTTTGGAAGTACAGTCAAAACCGATCTATAAAGGACGAGACATTTATGCAAAAATCCAAAACTTATGTGTAGCCAAAATTATGAACACACTTAAAGACAAATGAGGGTGGTTTTCCACCAAGGTCTTAGAAGGTACCATGTTGTCTCTGTAGTGGGAGAGGGGAACATACAAGGTTTCACACCAGGACCACCAGAATCACAGCACCAAATTCCATAAGTGGTCCTCAAAGGGAGGAAGCAGAACAGACATGGTTTTCCGTTTCCAGGCTCCATCCGTTCTTACTCAGTAGGTACTGAGTAGTTTGAGCCGCATTTTTTTTTTTTAATTTTTAGTATGTTTTGAATATCTACTTTAAGTAACTTATCCATATTACTGAAAATTCTTTCTGGATGTCCACTGAGCTATTCTTCAAGACTGCATCAAAAAGTTAGCACACATCACAGAGGTAGTACCCTGACAAATTATCACTTGTCACTTTGCAAAAAAAAAAAAGGCCTCTTCTACACTGCACTTGTCGAGTAGAAAAGATGAGGGAGGAGAAGAGGCAAGTATTAAAGGATTCCATCCATGGAGGCACACAGAAAGACTGGAACAGGTGTGTCTATAAAACCAGTGACATGTGGCCCGAACACAGAATTTGATGATCTGGCTAAGAGTCTCACTTTTCCCTCACTCTATGTCCCTGTTTGATTCCAAACTTCTAGGACCCCCTCCCCCCATTCGGGCCTTATCACACCTGATTAATAAATCCCCAGGGATCTGCCTGTCTCTGCCTCCCAAGCGCTGGGGTTAAAGGTGTGGAGTGCCACCATGCGTGGCTTACTTGCTTGGGTTTTTGAGACAGGGTCTTGCTATGGGCCAAGGTGGCTTCAGACTCCAGAGTGCTGGAGTTACAGGTAGGCATTGCCATGCCCAGCTGCAGCTTCTTAGAGGAGCAGATCTGAAGTTCAATGTCATTTTAAATTTTAAACTCACCTGCTGCCGCTGCTGTCCTTAAAAGCCATTGCTGCTGTCAGTGGGTGGCACTCATCTGGAAGAGAGAGAGATTGCAAACGTCAGCTCAGAGTAAACATACCGGTACACCCAACTTGCAACACCGCAGAGACAAAATTCAGAGTTCACCTTTGAATTAGGAAACGGCTCTTCAAAAATACGAATAGCTAAGAAATATTGTAAAAAAAGAAATGTTCATTATCTTTGGCCATCGGGGAAATGCCAAATGAAACTTTTTTGAGATGTCATGCTAACACAGAATGGCTAAGATTAAGGAAGCAAAAGGCAGCAAACGTTGGTGAGGAGGCAGAGACCCCTCATGTGCTGTTGGGAGGACACATTGGTGCAAACAAAATGGAAATCAATGTGGCAGTTCCTCAGGACACCAGAAATAGATCCACCATGTGACCCTGCTTTACCACTGGCATATACCCAAAGAACTCTATTTCCTGCTAGAGAGATGCCTGCTCGTCCATGTTGCTCATGCCCTCTATCTGTGGGCAGAGCTAGGGCCCAGGGAAGGCAAGGCCTGGATGCCCATCAACTGATGGATGGATGTGATGAAAACGTGATAAACATTTATAATGAAATTCTGCTCGGCTGTAAAGAGAAGCAAACTGTAGGTAAATGGTTGAGCTGGAGAAAATTATACTGAGTGAAATAACCCAGTCCCAGAAAGACAAATCCGGCATGGCCTCACTCATAGGTAGGTCTTAGCATGAACTCTTAGGGTTTGTGTGCTCAGTTAGGAGAACCCACAGAGTATGGGGAAATTAGGGAAAGGACCATGGATGGGAAGACAAAGGAAGCTCTCAAGGGAGAGTGAAGAGTAGCATAGAGGTGGTGGAAAGAGAGGAATAATGGCGAGAGAGCTTAAATTGGGAGAGAGACGGAAGGGTAGAGCAGAGGAGGGCATTGGGGGAGGGGAAAGGACATATAGAAACCTACCCTTATATAAACTTCCATATATTTAATATGGAATTTCATTGGACCTAGTGCCAGGTCTGGGATACCTCCCCCGAGTTGTCCGACTCCCCCCCCCCCCAAAGAATACAGCCTATTGTCATGGTTTAGGTTGCCCACCAGAACTTCATGGTAAGACCCCATTGCTCAAGACGCAGCATATTTGTCCCAGGGCTGACTGGGACGCTTTCTCCAGCCAGCTAGCCTTCCTAGTGCTGGAAGGTGCTATCCATGCTGCTGGGAGGGGAAAAAAATCATTCATGGTCCTTTTCAGCTACAAACTCCGAGAGCTGGAACTCCAATACTGACCTGTAACAGAAAAATACGCCCACAAACCTAACAGTAGGCAAGTATTATGCTGCAACCTGCTGGTTTCCGCTTGGGTTCCAGGCCTCCCTACAGCAAAGAACACACACGTAGTCCTGTAAATCTGACCCAGAATCCATGGTTCGGGAGCCCACAGTTTGGGTGGGCAGATCCAGTACTGTGTGTGAAACAGGGTCTCACTGTGGAGCATGGGATAGCCTGGAACTCAGTATTGTAGATCAGGCTGGTCTAGAACTCGGAGATCAGCCTGCCTCTGCCTCTCAAGCGCTGGCATTAAAGACGTATGCCATCACAACCAGCAAACTCACTACTATTATCCTGTTACACGGACATAGTACCAAGCTTGCCTGGAAAGTTGGATCTCTCCACCCACAGACAGTGACGCTCTCAGACCTCAGCAGAAGCTTTCTCTGAAGCCCAGAGACTGACGGAGGTCAGAGTGCTCACACACAAAGGAGCCAGAGGTCAGGGGGGACGGAAACATGGTCTTCTAGACTAGACGGGACCACTCTCTCAGGCCGTGTGCAGGACCAAGCCAGCCAATACGGCAGCAGGAACTGGAGAACACGCCCCGGGCTCCAGCTGAGGAGCTCTGGACAGTCAGTTTTCAAGGCCGGAGAGTGGGTTTTTAAGGGTGTGGCTCCCTGTGGGTCTCACACGTGCCAGCACGGGGGTCGGGGAAGCACAAACTGAAGTTTAGGGGATAGCAACAAAAAGAGAACAAGAAGTTTGGAGTAGGGAGATGGGAGACAGGAGTGGATCTGGGAGGAGTTGGGGCGCTCAAAATGTACTGCATGGCATTCTCACAGTAAAAATGTTTCAGAGAGAAAAATGGCTCCTCACTAATGTCACTAAACTATGCATGCACAAATAGCATATTTCAGAAGCCAAACATTACTATGGATTTTGAGACTACTACTCAAAGCCATTTTACAAAGGGGGGGGCAAAAGAAAAACAACTGTGCATAACCGTGCACACGAGGGAAGGAAATGCCATTTCTCTGGTGTCAACCTTGTGCCAACCATTATGTTAAGCCCTTTGAAAAATGGCTTCATGTAACAGTGCAATAAGCTTTTGAAGTAAACACTAATATCTTGCTTTGAAGAGAAACTGGGTTTGAAGCTATCAACCCAAGGTTGTGTTAGCAACTTAACAGGACTAAGAGGAAAAGGGAGAGAGTTCTGAGTGTGCAAGCAAAGAGCTGATCTTCACGTAAAATTGTAAGGCTCTCAGGGAAGAAAAAAAAATAGGGCAGGCATACGCCCAGCCCCTGTGCCATGCCTGCTGCTGCCTGGGCAGGGAAGGGAGTCCCAGTGCCTATAACTGCTAAACATGAATTCAACTTTTTTAAATGTATATTGGCTAGGCATGGAGGCACACACCTATAATTTGGTAGGAGTTTAATTAAGGCTGCACTAAGCTATATAGCAAGACCCAGTCTCGAAAATCAAGCAAATAGGGCTGAAGAGATGGTTCAGAGGTTAAGAGCACTAGCTGCTCTTCCAAAGGTCCTGAGTTCAATTCCCAGCAACCACATGGTGGCTCATAACCATCTATAGTGAGATGGTTAGTGAGGTGTCCTCTTCTGACATGTAGACACACATGCAGGCAGAATATTGCACATACAATAAATAAATACATACATACATACATAAATAATTTTTTAATCAAATAAGTCCAAATGGCAACCTCCTCCTCTTTTTCCTTCTTCAATTTTAAAATGTCTCAAAATCACTATAGCACAGTTTCCCAATCCTCCTGCCTCTATCTGCAACTAGTTGCAATTACAGGGTTAGAGTAAACTTCTTAGTGCATTCTCTGAAAATAGGCCTGGATTTTAGGAAAAGCCATTCTTTCTACAGTCTGGGCAGGCGGCCTCCATACTATCTGTGTGTCTAGGAATAACTTTCTAAGTAAACATCAGCAGCTGTGTCCTTTCCCTGCCTACAAATTGGCTGGACTTACGCTAACTTGCTTCACTGTTGCTGTTTGGCTTTGCTTCCGTTTTTTCTTCAAGCATTAGTAAAGACAAGGTAGGTTACCAAATTACCTCTATACTTTATCACTATTTGATACAAAGAGCACACTACATGAAATCTGTAATTGCCTGCTGTAATTACTTTTAACTGTTACAATTTCTTCTCAGGCTGAACCACCCGTTTGGAAGACTTCCTCCTTGGCAATGCTGATAAGGCCTTTGATGTCCCTCTTCATATAATTTAAACTGCTCACTTCCATGTTTCCATGCTGCTGGACATTATTTGCTACTGTTATCTCCTCTCCCAAAGGCTACAGTGTAGAGGTATGATCTCCCCTTCACTTATACCAGTGCAGCTGTGAGGTTTTCAGGGTCAGATATCTTTTAGAGTCACTCCTCCAGGCAGTTACAGTAGCCTTAGGCAAGTTCTACAATCTCCAGCTCCATATCCCTTTCCATCCTTCTCTCCTTCCCCCACATTGCCTCCCTTTCCCTTCTTTTCTCCCCCCTTCCCACTAATAGCTTACTTTCTCCTCCCTCCCTTCCTCTCTGCTCTCTTGCACACAGGAAATGATCAATAAAACTATCAGAATCATGCTGCATCATTCTTGATAACACTTCTGTAGAAGCATCTGAAGAGTCTACAGTGGCATTCCCATGTATGATTCTGCTGATTAAGAAGTCCAAACTATTGGCAGAGCAAGGATGCCAACGCTTAGGGCTCCCTGATGTCATTATCATATCACAATCTAGAATCACGTGGGTAGAGACTCTCAGTGAGGGGCTGTCTAGATCTGTGGACTGTGGTCCTGTCTGGGAGCACTATCTTAATTATGTTTTAACCAAGGTAGGAAGGCCTGCCCACCCACCATGGGTGGCACCATTCCTTAGGCAAAGAATGTTAGACCAGACGAGAAAGTGAACTGTGCACTGACATGCACACATTAATTAATTGCTCTTTGTTCTTGACTATGGAGGTGATGGGACCAGTTGCTTCAAGTTCCTGTCACCTTGACTTTTCCACAATGAAGGGCTGAAACCTGGAACTGTGTCTCTCCTAAGTCGCTTTTGTTATAGTGTCTTATCACAACAACAAACAAACGAACCTGATAAGACTCCTAGCTCCTGAACCAGGCAGTAGGCACGAGGGTAAAGCAAACACCCCTCCACCTCTCATGTCAGAAGGATGTGTGACAGGAGCTACACATGAAGAAGAAATGTTAAGCAAAATCAATATTCCATCCTAAGAGCTGCTATAGAGAAGACAGAACTAAGGCAGGATGCTGAAATTCTGTAGGGACGTTGAGTAGAAAATGCTACATTTGAGGACACAATTAACGGATGACAGAAGCAAGCCCTCGCTACCAACTCAAGACGGTCCTAGAGGCTGAGAAGGGGAACGATGAAGGAGTGCCAACAGCCCTGAGATTCATACTCGCAACTGAGCCGACCGGCTGGAGCTTTTCAAAAGCACAGAGGTAGGAGGAAGAAGACTACCTCAATATGGTCCGCATAGATAGTGTATGCATCAGGTGTAAGCTGAGGAGGAGCGAGGCCCCAAATAATCAGAAAATCGTTCTAATCACTGCGAAAAGAAACGGTGCACAGTTCAGGCTAGTATCTCTCTTTTTAAAACTGTCTTTCATTGTTGTTTGTTGAAACAGGGTCTCCCTATGCAGCTCTGGAAGTCACTAGGTAGAGCAGTCTGGCCCAGGATTCACAGAGATCTGTCTGTCTGCCTCTGCCTCCTGAGGACTGGAATCAAAAG